TCATGCATGACACGAAGTATTTGCTAGTCTAGTACTGGAGAAATTAGCGTTTGGATGCGCATTGTGCGGCTTTAACACAGAAACTTCATACATTCAGCATACTCATTCACCAACTACTAAGCAGTCAGCATCAGACAAACAGTTGGATCGTCAGGCAAACTTTTACTTAAAGGCCACTCACTAGAAATGGCAAAACTGTCATTTGCCAAGAGAAATTCATTCTATATAGGGGGTGGCTGCACTGCATAACTCCCACTCAAGGGAAACAACAGGTGTCTGCGATATAGACACATGTCCGTTCTATAGAGATGTCCTTTATAGACAGGTGTCTGCCTAATAGACACATGTCCGTTCTATAGAGATGTCCTTTATAGACAGGTGTCTGCCTAATAAACACATGTCCGTTCTATAGAGATGTCCTTTATAGACAGGTGTCTGCCTAATAGGCACATGTCCGTTCTATAGAGACGTCCTTTATAGACAGGTGTCTGCCTAATAGACACATGTCCGTTCTATAGAGATGTCCTTTATACTTTATAGACAGGTGTCTGCCTAATAGACACATGTCCGTCTATAAAGGACATCTCTATAGAACAGGTGTCTGCCTAATAGACACATATGTCCGTTCTATAGAGGTGCTGTTAATTTGTAATTGCAATTCCAAGAAAGCACCAAAACTGTCCTCTGTAGACAGGTTTCTATTATACGGAAGTGACCGCTAAATGCAGGTTGATGGCACTTCATGTGGGAAAAACCATCTCAGAGAGACCACGTCACGAAAAACGCCGAAACCAACTCCGCACGAATAACGTGCGTGTCGCCAAAGTTTTTACGAAGCAGCACTATAGAGGGCGTTACTTGCTAACGGGTCGCTGCTCGCCGTCCCAGGTCCCGGCCAATGCCGCTGCCTCCTCGGACTTGGCCGCCGAATCAGCTGCCAGTAGGCACACCACTGACGTATGAACCTGCGGAGAAACAACGGCAACGGGTTAGGGGTGGTCAGGGGGTCAATGTGAATGTTTTACCCTAGGGGACCTTTCTACTTGCTGTGGTGCCACCAAAATTTACGATTAAACTGGTGTTTGGAAATAGCATCACGTCCGTGAGACCATGAGCGGTAACTTTCGAGCGAGGGACTGCAGAGATGCCAACACATATTTGAAGCAATCTGTAGTTTCTGGCCATCAAATTAGTAATGACCCCAGTTTGCTATGGGGGTCCGGCATGCCCTCCGGAAAATTGTTTGATTCTGAGATGCAATTTCCTGCATTCTGAGGGTCAAAAATGACAATAAATAGAAAAAAAATGACAATAATTAACAAAAGAATTTTTTTGCGATCACAGTGAAATTCGTAGTTTAATACAAAGTGGTCGTAGTGGTGCAAAAGGAATAGAAATTTGTATAAAATACGGATAAATCGTAGTGGTTGGCATCTCTGGGACTGGCAAATTTTTTGAGGGGATTCTACAACAACCCACATAGCAGAAATCGAAATTTATCTCGAGGAAAAAACGATCGTAATTCGAAAATATCGAAACATTTTCGAGAAAAAAAAGCAATTTGAAAAATAAAATATTTTGCCCAGGTTTTCACACGTATTACAAGACTGATTAAAGCCCAACAAAACTCTGTGCTATTCTCGAGAACAATGTTAGAACTGGACGCCACATGCGCGCGCGGTGGGGACGGGTGTACCTCGGGAGGCAGGGAGTCATCTGGCAGCGGTATCACAGTGAACTCCGGCAGGACGACGACGGAGTTCTCCTCATCGTACTCGTACTTCTTCCTCCCGGCGTCCACATCGAACCCGCCCTCGACGCCTGCCGAACGAAACAAGCGAACGTCGCTCGCGAGATCGCCGGGCAACGCGAATGACCGCCGTCGACAGACGTCAACTTGCGAAACGCGTTTTCGCTTCGTGCACGCGAGATCGGCGGCTGTTTATCTTTAACAAGCAACGCGATGACCGCTGTCCACGAATGTGAAATCGCGTGTTTTCTCCTCGCGCATGTGAAGAGGGCAAGGTGAGATGCAATCCAGGAAGAGCCGGCCATCTTAACCCAACGTGCGTAGTCGGGTTTACCGGCAGTTCGAGCTCGCATGGGCAGATATGATTTTTGAGGAGCTGGTTGCACACGACACTTAGTTATCTACTCGCTAAGTGCCGCAGTCGATTCACGAAGGAAGTTATAGCTGCGACCACCATTTTTTTCTTGGCTTCGTTAAAATGCAAATAAACTGAGATGATGGCTGTAGCGGTAAATACGCTATCAGGAGTATTCAGATCTCTATTATATTAAACGCTCCCGACGTTATCACCGAGCTCTAGCCGTCTAGCTCGAGTATAAACAACTGACATCAGATCGGAGAATGCATACCGATTGCGAGACGTGTCGGTTTTTTTGCCACCGGTTCCCCTTCAATCTTTTCTTGCGGAATCTAAAACAATAGGAACATTCTATGATTAATATTAGCTGCCTACAAATCTATAAGAAAACATATACACACATGCACACATACTTGCACACACACCCACACATGCACACATACTTGCACACACACCCACACATGCACACATACTTGCACACGAGCACACACAATCGCACGTAGACATATATATAACATCAATTTGGGCAAAGATAGCAACTACCTAATATTTTAAATTGATCAAAAAATTCTCAATTAGAGGAGACGACTGTTTTTCTGCCAGCTGTAATTTCTTTCTAATGACAATTAACGATATAATGGCAACATGATTTATAAATAAGTGAAGAGCTAGGCCTACATATGCCACTAAACTTCCGTGGTAGTGACTTTTATGCTTACCAGCCTTTTTGTTTTACGCAGATGCAGGTACACTGCATTTCCAGTCTTTCTGTAATGCAGCTCTACATATTTTCGACTGAAGCCTAGGAATGTGTTCATGCACACATACAAACCACCATCAGATTCCTGTAGCACACAGAAAAAAGCAAAGGCTACGTCTACACTGAATGATAATAAGGTAAACAAATATGGTAAATTAATATGAAGTAATACAAGTCACATATTTATTAATAATAAATATTATCCAGTAATGACTAATGAGTAATGTATCAACACTGTCAACAATGTACATATTGATGCTGTATATTTCCACAACAACAGTATATCACACAACAACCCTAAAGAGTAAAGTAATAGGCGAGCTTCTAACAATAAAAGGGTCACGAAGTGGCACAGACCATTTACTAAATGTGATTAAACTGAAAGTAAAACAGCAGAGTGTGGAAGCCATATCCGTGGGCCTGACACTGCACTTTTGAAAGCAAGTAATAGAAATCGGATAGAAATGGTGCAATTAAACTCTGCCACCCGTAGCCGTTTGGCTTACTTGTTGTAAACGGTACATGTAATAATTTAACAACATAGCTGTCACACACGTGATAATCTGAAGTTCTAAAACAAAGCAACAAGCGTTTCATTTAGTAGAATATTACAAGTGACAGTGTGCAGGCTAATGCTGGGAACGTAGGAGTCGAGTACATTTTAACAATCATTCTACTACTACTAGTAATAAAAGCCAACAGTAACACTGTTGATCGAAATACATTGAGGGTTTACACTGCGAACTTACCGGCGTATCAAATGAGAAAACGCACTCATCTTTATAAACTTTTTCGCCACCTAAAGGGGCTCGAATTTTACATATATGCGGCAACAAGGAAGCAGCCATCTTTTTGTGTACCACAATGCTACGCGGGATTATTAACAATGGTTCACGATTTCTTCTATTCGGCAAATCTTCGGACGAATCCGCTAATCGTGGCGAATACTGTTTGCTTGCGTGCGTGCGTGCGTGCGCGCGCGCGCGTGCGTGTGTGTGTGTGTGTGTGTGTGTGTGTGTGTGCGTGTGTGCGCGCGTGTGGTTGTATGTGTGCGTGTGCGACTGTGCGTTAGTACGCGCGCGCGCGCGCGCGTGTGTGTGTGTGTGTGTGTGTGTGTGTGTGTGTGTGTGTGTGTGTGTGTGTGTGTGTGTGTGTGTGTGTGTGTGTGTTGTGTGTGTGTGTGTCACTGTGTGTGTGTGGTGTGCTGTGTGGTGCTGTGTTTGTGGGTTGTGTGTGCCTGTGTGTGTGTGGTGTGTGTGTGTGTAGTGGTGGATGTGTGTGTGTGGGTTTGCGGTAAGATAGCGACAGGCGCGGCTCGCGCGTGTGTGCCGTGCCGCGTTGCGTGTGTGTGATCGCCTTATTGTTTCTATACATAAAGACGTTGTCTATCGCTGAGCGCCGAAATGTAGCCTGCCACAGTACCAATCTCAGTAATATAGATTGTGCAGTATGCGCGGCAAACATCCGGCCCCCGTGACGCCCCTTTTTGAAAGCCCCGGAAATAAAAAATTACATTAATTACATTATTAAAAAAAATTACCAAAAAATTACAAAATTACACAAATTAATTTTTCTCCAATATTCAATGTTGTAAATAAGGTTAACAAGATAGTCCAGTCGCAATTGTGACATCATGGACGCCTTTTCATTTTAACATAATATTCAAATTCTGTCGTCATTCTTCTGAATTTCCTGGCCAAAGAAAGAACATTCTCAGAGCTCATTAAAGCAATTTGATTTTACATGTTTGAGATATATCAATTCTGGCCCTGCCGCCAGGCAC